AGGTCCATGGACATTTCCGGGAGACTCCGGAGGTCTCTTTGGAGGCACCGACGACGACGACGGCGACGGCGACGGCGACGGCGACGGCGACGGCGACGACGCCGCCCAAAGCCCCTACTGCAGTGCCCTCCCCCCGGAGGTCTCCCAGGCGTCTTTTTAGACAGCCTCGAGGTCCCCGGAGGTCTCCCCGGAGGCTCAAGAACCCGCCCGCTGATTCTCGCGGATCCGCGCAGATTGTCACGGATTTTGTTGGGTTCCCAGCAAACGTTCGCGGAGGATCCTGGCGGACTCTCGCGGATTCTTGTGGATTCCGCTGCATTTCGGACGAGGATTCGCGGCAGATTCTTGCGGCTTCTTGCGGATTCGCGCGGATTCTCCCGGATTCTCGCGGGCTCGGCACTGTCGCGCGCCGCTCTCGGGCCGCGCTCGCGCGAAGGCCGCGATGGCAGCGGGCGGCGATGACCGTGACCGCCCGCGCGTTTCTGCAGGCTACTGCGTCCGCCTGCGGGTGCCGGGCAGTGCCTTGTGTCGTTCCACCGGCGCGCGCGATAGCTTGTGCCCGCCTGGCGATGCCGCTCGGTGCCTCCGCTCATGCGAGCGCCGCTGCGTTCCTGTGAGCGCCTTCCGGGCAGTGCCTCTGAGCGCGCTCGCGCGCCTGAGAGCACCCGCGCGCCACCGCCTATGGGCGCTTGCGAGCAACCGCCTGGGCGCGGGGTTCGGCCGTCGTGGCCGGGCGCCCCACGGCTACACTGGCTTCTCACGTCTCCTCCCATGGCCTCCAAGGGCTTCCCGCCCGCTGGCCTTGGGCGCCCGGGTCGGCCGTTGTTGCTGGCCCCCCGCGGCAGAGTGCGTTCTCCAGTAGCCGCCTGTGGCCGTGCTTGTGCTGGTGCCTCGCCCGCCGCGGCTTCGCCCCCGCGGATTCGGATGGAATCGCGCGCATTTGTCCGATCATGTGCTGTTTTGGCCCAGTGCTCCGACGTGGAATCTCCGCATCGAAAATCCCACCAGCCCTCTGGGCGTCGGTGGTTTAGAGCGTTTCCTCTTCCACCCCTCCTTCTTCCCCTTCGGGGAGGGGTTTACCCCTCCCCCTACCCCCTCCCCACTGACCTGGACAGGGGGGGCGGGGAGCGGTCAGAGCGTCCAAAACGGCCTCGCCGAGGAAACCCAAATCATTGATTTTACTAAGGTTTTGGCCCCATTTTGGCCCCCAGAGGGGGCAGCACTAATTGAAGCTCCCCTTTGGTCGATTTCCTCCAATATGGCCCCAAGAAGCGCCCAGGAGGCACCAAGAGGCCCCAAGATGGCCCCAAGATGGCCCCAAGAGGCCCCCAGGAGGCCCCCAAGAGGATCCCAAACGGCCCAAAGAGGCCCCCCCGAGCCGAGGCACCCAAGACGCCGAAAAGCCCCTCAGGACGACCCTGTACTCGCCTGGGCGTCGTTTCTGGACGGGCTGGTGGGGATACGCGAAGCGTCTAGAATTTAATGAAAATTCGCCCCGCGCCAGAATCGAAAGTGCGAAACCAAGTCAAATGCCCACGTTTGGCGAGCAGCACGAGTTGATATCGCCGCGTTGGCGCGAAATCTTCGCCGGCAGCCCATCCGGTTTTGCCGGGGGGGCCGGCGCCCCTGGCATCTCCGACTTTCATAGTACTAGGGTTGGCCTTGCTCTGTTTGCCCCAGGGAGCCTCTGGGCTTCCTCTGGGTCCCTGGTGGTCTGGAGCTCTTTTGGTTGCCTGGAGGCCTTCTTGGGAGTCCTGGGCGCCCGAGGAGAAGGCCTCCAGGATGCCGCATGGCAATCGCATGGTTTGCAGGTGATTTCCATAAGAGTACCATATGCAAACTTTCCATCTGGTGATTTTGCGGCTTTCGTATGGTACTCATTTTGGCTTTTTTATGGTCTTATTTTTTGTGTGTTGAGCCATATGGTGCTCTTATGCTTTGCATGTGGAAAGCTTGTGGCGTTCGCATGGTAACATGATGGTTTTCGTGTGGTAATCGTATGGTTTTCGTATGGTCATCTCTGGGCTTTCGTAGGGCAATCTCATAGTTATCGTATGAAAACCTTGTGATTTTCGTATGGTATTAGTGTGGTTTTCGCATGGCTGCATGGTAATATTAGGACGTTCGCATGGTAATCCTATGGCTTTCGCAGGGTAATATCCTTAATGGTTTTCGCATGGTTTTCACAAGATAATGTTATGGTTTTCGTGTGGTGCCCATATGGCAACCTCGTGATTCCCACATGGTATTATCATGGTTTCCGTATGGTAATCTTATGGATTCCGCATGTTAGTTGCATGGCTTTCGTATGGTGTTCGTTTGGTTTTCGTATGGTCACACGTATGGTTTGCGTATGGCTTCCGTATGGTAATCTTATGATCTTCGCATGGTAGTCGTGTGGCTTACGCATGGGTGCGCTGGGGAGCTAGCGCCGAGGCGCTGGGGCGCCGGAGCGCGGGCGCGCTGGGCGCTCTGGCGCGGGGGCAATGGGGCCCTGGAGCGTGAGGGCACTGGGGCGCTGGGGGCGCTGGGGCGCTG